GAAGAGTTGAGGACAGCCCAACCACAGGTCCACAAAAAGTAAATGACAGCCAAGAAATTCTATTCCATCCCACACAGTGTTCCTGAGTAACGACTGATCAGTTTCCAAAAAGGCCTGGGCTTGGTGTTCCCACAAGCAATGTCTGATGGAGATCTCTGAACCACTCTATCCGCAAAGAGTAAAAGCAGGCTTAGAAAATGTCATGAATTTAAAAGCCACTTGTCTTGACAGCATTAATAATCTGTCACCACCTCCTAACTTTGTTCTTCATTACAAAGGCCATTTTTTGAGTGAACAAAGAGGGTAAAGAATCTGGAAAGAACTATTTACCCAAAGAAACTGATAAGAGCTGAGGCTGGAGAAGGCTTGCAGGTGAATGAGGAAAGGAAGACAAACTAGGGAGAGTGTGCCTTTTGTCTTCCAGGGTCAAGCACATTCTGCCTGCTGCAAACCAGTCAGAGGCTCACACTTAGAAATGGAAAGAATACAGTTTCCAGCAGCTGTTCTTGATATATCCAGAATATTCTGAAAATGATCTAGCATCTCAGTAAAAGACATTTCCCATCTGATGAATCAGATATTCAACTCCAAGAACAATAAACTGGTGGTTATTGAGGACTAAAGGGTCTTTCTGACTTCCTCTATCAAACCCTGGTGCCAAAGTACCTTGTTCCCTGCTAGGATTCCAACAAACACTCACTACATGCAGATGGCAGTCATTCCATTTTAAGAAAAGTCCTTAAAAAGATTCAATAATACAATCTAAGCATACAAAAACCCACAAAATTTGCTTCAGAATTGTTTTGTTTCTGGTTCCTATTGTTCCCACTCTGCCAAACTCAGGATGACTGTCCTTGCATAGGTGATTTTCCTATTGGAATCAACCCCCCTGAGATGATTTCAGGGAGCTTTATTTTCCATTAACTAGCTAATTGTTTCAGGTTGTAGATGTTCTTCTCTACTTACGGTCACTAGATAGGCCTATATGGACAGGGTTCAGGCAATTCAGTTGGAGGTTTGTAGCTAACCCCAGCAATGAAGAGTGCCAGCCAACCCAGCTGAGGATCAAATGGGAAAAACTATGGAAGGTAGAAGGCTTAGCTCTCTAAAGGCAAATCTTAAAGGCACCCAATGAAATATTGTTTTGAAGTAAACATCCCCTTTGTCATAAAAATTGTATTTTATGGCTCATTTGCTAATTTTTCACCAATTTAGATTCTGCCTGATAAAGTTGACATTGTTAAATAGTACTAAGTTCTCTGATGTCCACCAGCTTTCAAGAAAGCCTCCAACTGCTTTTATGTGGTTTAATCCAAGTTAAATATTTGTAACACAAGTATGAAGTGTACCTTTGCATTCTAATTGTCTGGAATCACAGAAATCAATTTGATTTCATTTATTAAAATTTTTTTAAAAACCCTCCTACACCATGGGGTTATTACATTGGCTTAAACAAAGTATGGTATTTTGTGATGCATGATGCATTTACCAAATTCAGGAGGGAAAAATTGCAAAGGGCCAGAGACCCATTAGTAACCATTTCCTATTAGATTTTGGTGGCAATAGGGAAATAAATCACTCAGCTTCTACCTTCACATCATTCCTCTTCCACCTTTTTGCACAGATTAGATGTGTAGTCACCAGCTGGAGAAAGGAAATACTTCTGTCATTGTTCTCCCTCATTTGAAATGTCTGGTGCTAATTTGGATTAGACCAGGGGTGTCAAACTCATTTTCACTGGGGGCTACATCAGCCTCACGGTTGCCTTCAAAGGGCTGAAATAATTTTAGGACTATATAAATGTATCTACTCCTTAACTGTTAAGGAGTTGAAATTACATTTAGCCCTTTGAAGGCAACCGTGAGGCTGATGTGGCCCCTAATGAAAATGAGTTTGACACCCCTGGATTAGACTCAACAACTTCCTAAATCTGGGAAATGGATACCAAAACTATGTTTAACTCAATTTTTGGAGACCAGGTTTATATGGTAATGCAATCTAATAGAGTTTGAGATCTGCCATCATTAAGTCTCTGTTGAAGTCCCAGTTTTGCTCTGACTAGCTGGCTAACCTCTGGCAAATCCTTGGCATTCCAGTTTTCAGAGCTTTAGGATAAATAATAATTCCCACCTGAAAGGATGAAGATCACAGAGTCACATCAAGTGAGAAGCAATGGACAAAGAGTTCTGCAGGTGTGGGCTATTGCCTTTGGCTCACCTTCTGGAACTTTCTCAAGACTCAGAAATCTAGCAAGTATGAACAATGGATTAGGAGCGAGGATATTTCAGTCTCAAACACATGTCTGTCAAAATAATCAGTTTTTTCCATCAGTAAAACGGGTACTCTTTTCCCTTACATGTATCTACTCACTTATATCCATTACTAGTGAATAGAGCATTATATTAAGAACCAGGTGGCTTAACTCACCACACCACAGTGATTCCTCAACTTGTTGCACATTGCAATCACCTGGGGAATTTTAACCCTCCCAATATCCATTTGTACCCAATACCAATTAAATCAGAATGTCTGGGGGTAGAATCCAGGCATAAATATTTTTCAAACACCTTAAGATGACTCTACCATGTAGCAATGATTAGTATCATCTGTCTGACTACCTTCTATAGGCACCTGAGGGTACCTTTCAACTTTTTTGTTCTAAAGTATGTTCAACTTTGAAGTGGGAATCAAAGCCCAGAGCAACAAAATTGAACCTCTAAATCTCCCTCCAGTAAGCCTGGCAGCCACCCACCCCACATCTGGCATCCAGTTGGGAAGTGTGACCCATGAGCAAGCAGAGGGCACACGGGAGTAGGGATGTGAGCCTAGGGGTCCAGGTGAACACAGAGCACCACTTCCCAAACTGGATGATCAGCAGAGTAACATAGAAAGAAATATCACAATCGAATAAAAATAGGCTATTCTGGGTTCATCAAAACTAGCAGGTTTCTTCATTGTAGGACTTCTGAGACATTTTCAGGTGGAGTATGATTATGAATCTGCCATAGAAGGTTGTACCAGCATTTCTACCGCCCCCCTCCTTGGAAACCTTCATTTTTTTTTCAGAGCATTTTAAGGACTAGTGTTTCAAGGCATAAACTTTAACCTAGAGCAATGTTGGAAGTAAGGGACAGGCATTTTGTCCTCTGAGGGACATCTGGTGATATCTGGAGACATATTTCGTTGTCAGCACTTAGGAGTAGGTGTCTGTTACTGGCATCTAGTGAGCAAAGGAAAAAGCAAGGTGACAAATATACTACAATGTGCAGGAGAGCCAACACAACAAAGTTATCCAACCCAAATGTCAACAGCAGCACAGTTGAAAAGCCCTTGTCTAGAGTCACCTCTTCCCCTACAGATCATCTCCCATGCCATAGTCTTAAAAATTGAAGGCAATGGGAAAGCGAGAGAGAGAGGAGAGGAGGAGGAAAAAAGAAAGAAGAAGGGGGAGGAAATGTGTTGGGGACTGCTCTGTGTGGTTTCAGAGATTGTAGTCCTGAAAGAGCAAGCTCTGAAAGGGGCTGGTAAGTCTCCCTGGAAAACCAGGTCATAACGCAGGTGGCAGGCATGACTGAATTCTAACACTTAGGGCTCCTGTGGGAATCAGGCCTGAAATGTACATTTTTGTCCTTTGAAGCCTGCTCTGCTCAGCGATAAGCCCCATCAATGTAACCCAGATGTTTGAATTCAAAACAAGGACTGAAACTTCCTATTTCATGATATATGTCTTTATAGCCATCTGGCGTTTGCGTGTCTCACAGACCCCAACCTGAAGAGATTTCTGTGTTTCTTCAATTGTCGTGTATAGACAGTGTTAGTTTTTTATGACTATAGCCTTGTTGGACATTGATTGATAAGCTGTAGCATAAGCTATCCCCCTGCACTTCCCAACCCTAATAAAAGTTGTGTTGGAGAAAGGACGGGGGTATTCTCCACTAGAGGGAATTGCCACCCCTTTTCCCACCAGAGCAACAAGATTGGGTACAGGATGACTTGATTTTCATCTGTGGGGGCCCAAGTTCCCCTCAGAAATTAAAAACAGAATATAATGAAAGAGCAGACTGGGGAAAAAGAGAAGAAAAATAAGCCAGATTCATAATTGCCAAGACTTAGAGGCAACTTAGATGTCAGTAGGTGAGTGAATAAACTATGATACATCCAAAAAGTAAAGATAAACACAGACGGTAAGTGTCTGTCAAATTTGAAAATTCTTTCCGTGTCAGTCATACTTTAATAGAATAAAAATGAAATTTTTATTAAGGCTTTTAAAAAAATAAATTCTGGTACATACTGACAAGAAAATATTATTCAGGGCTAAAGAGAAATGAGCTATGAGGCCCTGAAAAGACGTGGAGGAATCTTAAATGCATAACACTAAGCGAAAGAAGCCAATTCTGAAAAGACTTCTGTATGATTTCAATTTTATGTCCTTCTGTTGTGCACAGAGGATTTTTAGAGCAATAAAAATACTCTGTATGATATAAAAGTGAATACTTGTTGTTAGACATTTGTCCAAACCCATAGAATAGACAGCACCAGGAATGAACCCTAATGTAAACTATAGACTTTGGGTGATTCTGATGTGCCAATGTAGGTTCAGAAATTTTAACAAATGTACCCTCTGGTGGGGCATGCTGATAATGAGGGAGGCTGTGCATGTATGGGGCAGGAAGTGTATGTGAAATCTTTGTACCTTCTGGTCAATTTTGAGTGAGCCTAAAACTGCTCTATAAGGGGAGGGGAGGGGAGGGGAGAAAAAGGAAAGAAGAAAGGGAAGGGAAGGGAAAGGAAAAGGAAAAAAGAAAAAGAGAAAAGAAAAGAGCAGCACTGTGTTAACTGGCCTCAGCCTCCTCACGCCTTTATTAGTTCTCTGAATTTAGGAAGGCAGATCTTTCTGCTCTTCCACAGGCACAAGCTGGTGGGTGAAAGCGAAGAAGACAAAAGAAAGGCAGGAAATGTTCTGTGCCCCAAGCTTGGTGCCTCTGTGCACTCGGGCGGCCTCAGACCCTGGGAGGCTTCTTAGGGTCCTTGTTCTTGGCTGGCATGAAGGCGTAGAGCTCCTCGATGAGCATCTCCATGCGGGCGGTGACTTCGGTCACAGTGTCGATGACCAGCTTCTGCTGCAGCTTCAGCTTGTTGTTCTCCCACAAGGCCTTGTTTTCCTCCTGGAACAGCCGGTGCTCCTCGCGCAGAGCGTGCAGGGCCCTGTTCTCCTCCTGCAGGAGCCGGTTCTCTTCACGCAGGGTCTGCAGGCTCTGGTTCTCCTCCCGCAGGGCCTGCAGCGCCCGGCTCATCTCCCTCAGCAGCTCCAGGGGCTGGCTGCCATCCACTATGCCAGGGCCCGGGCCCGGGCCCACCTGGCTCTCCTCCCGGGAGGGCCCAGCCAGGCTACTGACCATTTCGCGCAGGGCACGGAGAGTCTTGGAATCCTCCTGCGGGCTCGAAGGTCCCTTGGGCTCCTCGAACGCGGAGGGGAGGCCGGGGCCCGGATCCGTCAGAAGCCCTGAGCCACGGGGCTCCTCATGGGGTGAGGGGGCCGGGTTGCTTTCCTCCGCAGGACCCGTCTTCTCCTCGGCCGGGGCCCAGTAGGCCTTCCTCTGCTCCAGCAGCTGCTGCAGGGCCCGGTTCTCCTCCCGGAGGAGCTGGAGCGTGCTGCTCTCCTTGCTGCGGTGCCCGTGTGGGGCCGGGTCCTTCTTTACCACCTCCAAAGCCGTGCTGTCCTTGCGCAGCAGCGGCGACGAGGCCCTGCTGTCCTCCCGGCCCGGCGGGAGCTTTTGCTCCTCGCAGAAGACCTGCAAAATCTTATTCTCTTTCCGGAGGGTCTTGTTCTCCTCCCGCAGAGCGCGGTTCTCCTCCCGCAGGGACCGGTTCTCGTCCAGCAGCAGGTACTCCTTCGCCAGCCTCTTGTGGTGCAGCTTGTGGTGGAAAGAAGACGAGGGGGAGAAGTAGGGAGACTGCAGGCGGCAGTTCTCATTGACCCACCGCCCGTCCTGAAACACAAACATCTCGTCGCTGAGCTGTACTCGTGGAGGGTTGTAGTCTAGCTCTAGGTCCGCCTGGGAGGTGGGGCGCTCCATCGGATCCAAGGGCACCGAGGAGAAGCGATTCAGCGGGTACGAGTGCTGGCTGGCCACCCTGCGGCTCAGCCTGGGCAGGGCTGCCTGCCTGGCGCAGCGCGGGCTCGGGTACAGGTTGTGGAGCCTCAAGAAGGGCTCGGTTGTGCCCCGCTGTGGGAAAGAACGGGGGAAGCCCAGAGTTAGTGAAGGAGCTGGTACACCTGAGGCTGACTGACAAAGTAAGAGGCCAGGACGCCTCACAATAAACCCAGTCTGATAGTCTGCTCTGGCCTGGCCTCAGTAGGCACTTTTACACTTGGCCTGTTGGGGTCCTCACAAGGAAATGCAGTTGATCCTCATCATTCCCTGCAGTTATGTTCTATAAAATTGTGGAGAACACCGAATTAGTGAATACTGAACTATGGCTGCTAGGAGAAATACAAAATTAGGTGTCTGCCAGCCTCTGGTCACATTTTCATCAACCATCCAATACATAAGCGCAAACTGCACTGAAACTCATGCCTGAACAAAATTTATCTAACACAACTGTTTTCTCTGTAAAGCACATCATTGCCTTCTTGTGCTTAGAAAAATTAAGCAGCATTTCAGTACTATGCTTGAGGGTGATTTTAGACAGTGAAATCACCAACAAAAAAAAAATGTGAAAAACCTGTACTAAATAAACTGTGAAGTAAACATTGTTTTATGGTATGAAACAAGAAGGCTCCTCAGCTGAGATTGTTTGCATCAGGTCACTCAAGTGTTTCATCACTCTGTGCATGTCAGTGAATGATCATGGAAGAGTCATGAGTATTGATTTGGGGGTTACAAATTTTTGTGAAAAAAATTAGGGAAATTCACAAATACGGAATTCATCAGTAAGAACTATGATCTGTCACTGATGTGCATGTGAAACTGAAGCCTCTCTCTCACCCTCTCTGAGACTCAGATTTTTCACTAGCAACAAAGAAGGAGTCAAACTGCATGATCTTAAATTAGGCACTTTCTAATACTGAAAGTCAGTGAAATGTGCCTGGAAAATGGAAATAATAACATGTGCCCTGCTTAGTTCACAACACTGTGTGAGGATTGAATGACATAATGAATGTAAAAGTGATTTTAAAACTGTCAAGTGCCATAGAAATGTAAGGTATTGTTATCAAGAAAATTAGGCTTCAGTAATGGAAGAATTCTGAGATGTATTCAGAACGTGGTGAACAGGTGGCAGAGGCAACAACTACAGAAATAAATTTAAATAAGATAAGATCATGATAGCAACTTCTGAATATACCAAAAGAATTTTATCCAAGCAATGTTCTCCAAATATAAATTCCTTATTTCTGAGGTTATTTTCACAATTTTACAGATAGAGAAGATAGAAAACAAATTAGGTTACATACTATATACTACATATATATAATGTATATATGTATATATGTATATATCTCTAAACATATACTATATAAGTGTGTGTATAGAGAGATGCATAATTTGCACAGTATATAAAGTTGGTTTGAATTTTTTAAGACCCAAAGAGCTAGATAAGTAGAAGACACAGTTCTATGCCATTAACTTTGCAATAAGCACATGCCATTACCTTTTTGTAAGGATGTGCTTAATCTTCCAGATAGCAAGGGTGTAGGAGTATTCTGTAATGAGAACCTTATTTGCTTTAAATAAATCCAGCCTCTACAGTTTTTATATTTCTCAATTAGGAAAACACATTAGCTCTTGTAGCTGAACCTATGATCAGAATGAACTTCATTGTGGATAGTCCACACTATATCCTTGTAAATTGAAGGTTTCTTGATCTGAATTTCTGGGAAGATTAGCCAAGATCAATAGGTAATAAAACTGGAGAGGTTCTCTCCATCCTCAAATTAGAACTAATGACGGCCTCCATCTCAGCAACATCTTACCTTGGATGATATTATTGTGGAAAATGTGGTTTTAGTCAATGGTGTGTATCCAGATCTTGTGAAGGAATGGGGAGACAGAAATATTGAGCCTCAATTTTGTGCTAGGCCTGAAGCTGAGCATTCCACCTACCAAATTACCCCACAACCCTGAATTAATAAGGTGTTATTATTATTCCTATTTTATAGATGGAGAAACTGAGACTCAAGGAAGTTAAATAACCAGTATCAGTTTAATTACTAAGTCACAAACCCAGTTCTGGCTCCTTGAACTTATATGTATAAAGTGAACACATGAGAGATCACCATGAATTTATCAAAGGATTGGCAGTATTTTGGGGGATCAAGATACTTTTTCCTTAACTTTTTTATTATGGAAATTTTCAAACATCTATAAAAAGAGAAAGAATAATAATTACTAGATGGGTACATTTTTTCATGTAACCATCACCTAACTTCAGCAATTATCAAATTAAAGCCACAGTTGTTTCACATATACCATCACCCAATTCCACAGCACTCCCTTGTCACTGGGTTATTTTAAAACAAAGTGTAGATTTCCAGTCAAGATGGCAGCATACAGTACTCACCTCCCCCTGAAACCACATCAAAATTACAACTAAACTACAGAACAACCATCATTCAGAACCACCTGAAGTCTGACTGAATGAGAGTCCTATAACTAAGGAATGAAAGAAGAAACCACACCAATACTGGTAGGAATGCAGACATGGAACCAGCTAGTCCCATGCCCAAGTGTGGTGTGTAAAAATCAGGAGGGATATCTCAGCAATGGAGGTCCTCCATGAGGAGTGAGGGGTACCTGCCTCACACCAGGCCCCCAAGCCTAGGGTTCTATAGCCAGGAAGAGAAGTGCCCTTAACTTCTGGCTGTAAAAACCAGCAGGGATTGAAGCTGGGGAGATAGAGGACCTCTGGAGTCCCAAACAATTCTTCTTAAAGAGCCCACACACATACTTACTCAGACTCATCCTTTAAGCTCCAGTGCTGGGGCAGCAGCTTGAAAAGTACCAGAGCACTTCAGGTCAAGATGGAGGTATAGGTAGAGATGCTTTGCTTCCTTGTACAACCAAAAGGACAACTACCAATTTAAAAACCAAAAGCAACCAAAACTGCCAGAAAATTGAACTGTATGGAAAATTGACAACCAAGATGTTAAAGAAGAAACATTCATCCAGACTGGAGGGAGGAGCAGAGTCAGGCAGCCAGGGTGAAGAGGGTGCATGGCAAGGTGACAGACAGGGCCAGGCAGCAGCTGGTGGACCGGGAGGGTCGAACATTCATGTGTCGCTAAGCCAGGAGGAACAACTGGGGAGTGAGACAGACAACACAACCCAAGGTTCCAGCATGGGAAAAGAAAGCCTCAAAACCTCTAGCTGGAAAAACCTATGGGAGTTGCAGTGGCAGGAGAAACTCCCAGCCTCATAGGACAGTTTGTTGAAGAGACCCATAGGGTCCCAGAATGTACACAAGCCCACCCACTAGGGAATCAACACCAAAAGGGCCCAATTTGCTTGCAGGTAGCAGTAGAAGTGACTTACTGTGGGGGGAGAGCTGAACAAGCAGCATTGTTCCCTCTCTGACCCCTCCACCACATATAGTGCCACAACGTAGCAAAGTGGGTTGCCCTGCCCTGGTGAATACCTAAGGCTCTGCGCCTTACAATGTAACAGGAATGCCTAGACAAGGAAATATGGCCCAATATGGATCAAAACTCCAGAAAAAAAGAACTAAGTGATGAGGACACAGCCAACCTATCAGATGCAGAGTTCAACACACTGGAAACAAGGATGTTCACAGAAATTATTGAGTACAGATGCAAAATAGAGGTAAAGGCTATAAAAAGGGAAATAAAGAAAAATATACAGGGAACCAACAGTGAAGGGAAGAAAATGGGACTCAAATCAATGATTTGGAGCAGAAGGAAGAAATAAATACTCAACCAGAATAGAATGAAGAAACAAGAATTCAAAAAAAAAATGAAGAAAGGCTTAGGAACCTCTGGAACAACTTTAAATATTCCAATATCTGAATCATAGGGGTGCCAGAAGGAGGAGAAGAAGAGCAAGAAATTGAAAATTTATTTGAAAAAAATATGAAAGAGAACTTTCCCAATCTTATGAAGGAAAAAGACTTCCAGAAAGTCCAGGAAGCTCAGAGAGTCCCAAAGAAGTTGGACTCAAGGAAGCATACACCAAGGCACCTCATAATTACATTACCCAAGATTAAAGATAAGGAGAGAATCTTAAAAGCAGCAAGAGAAAAGGAGACAGTTACCTACAAGGGAGTGCCCATAAGATGTCAGCTGATTTCTCAAAAGAAACCTTGCAGGCAAGAAGGGGCTGGAAAGACGCATTCAAAGTCATGAAAGACAAAGGCCTACATCCAAGATTATTCTATCCAGCAAAGCTTTCATTTAGAATGGAAGGGCAGATAAAGTGCTTCCCAAATAAGGTCAAGTTAAGGGTGTTCATCATCACCAAGCCCTTATTATATGAAATGTTAAAGGGACTGATCTGAGAAAAAGAGGATCACCCCTATGAACAGTAAAATGATAACAAATTCACAACTATCAACAACTGAACCTAAAAACAAAAACAAAGTAAGCAAACAACAAGAACAAGAACAGAATCACAGAAGTGGAGATCACATTGAGGGTTATCAGCAGGGATGGAGAGAGGGGAGAAGGGGAGGAAGGTACAGGGAATAAGCATAATTGGTAGATACAAAATATACAGGGAGGGTGGGGGTGGTTAAAACATTGTAGGAAATGTAGAAGCCAAAATACTTATATGTATAACCCTTGGACATAAACTAAGGTGCTGGGGAATACTGGTGGGAGGGGAGGTGCAGAGCAAGGGGTATAAAGGCAAGCAAAAATGGGACAACTATAATAGCATAACCAATAAAATATGCTTTTAAAAAAGAAAGGTACCAGAGACATATGTGGATGAGCCTAATTATCCAGCATCAGGGTGAGATTTGAGGGGAAGCAGCTTTTTCCAAAACAGAAGTGCTGGCAAAGGCCATTGTTCCTTTGATGAGCCCTCCCCCACATAGCTGGCAGACAGGCACCATATCTGAGTCACCATAAATCTGGCTCATACTGTTGGCCCAACACTGGTGATTCTCTGAGGCCCTGACCCACCCAAATTTCAGGTCCACCCAAGCCATTTCCTGTGGCTTTTCTATACAAATGACCTGTCTTGGCTCATGCCTCAGATTTTCCTAAAAT